TGAATCCAAGTCTATTTTGCTCAAATCCGGTATGTATCCCCTTCACACCACTCAGCTGCCTAGGTCAGTGTGAAGATCAGGACAAATCTCTTATCTAGAGAGATAAAAGCTGGCATCATCATCACGTAAATGATCATTAAAGCCATGAGAAATGGAGGAACTGCTTAGTGATATTCACATGCATTGAGTATTCCCCACATTCCAGAATATTTTCTAAAGACTTTCCGTTATTTATCCCTTATAGCAGTCTTAGAGTGTATTCGTTGCCTAGGGCTTCACTAACAAAATTCCACAAACTGGGTGGCTTAAACAACAGGATTCACTGACTCACAGTTCTGGAGGCCAGAAGTATGAAACCAAGGTGTTGGCAGGGTAGTTCCTTCTGAGGGTTGCATGTTTCTCTCCCAGCTTCTGGTGTTGTGCTGGAAATGTCTGGCATTCTTCAGCTTGTGGCCACATCACCCCAATCTCTGCCTTCATCCTCACTGGGTGTTCTCCCTGTGTGCGTGTCTTCCTGTGCCCAAATTTCCCCTTTTTATAGACACCAATCACATTGGATCAAAGTCCACCCTGATCACCTCATCTTAACTTGTTCATCTGCAAAGACTCCATTTCCAAATGAGATGTCATGCACAGGTCCTAAGAGTTAACGACTTTAACATCTCTGACGTGGGGAACACCAGTCAACCCATAGCAGGCAGGTATTTTATATCCATTTTACAGATGAGGAAACTGAGGAACAGAGAGAAAAGTAACTTGCCTGAGGCCAGTGGCTAATGCACCGGAGAGTATATAAACTACGGGGAAAGGAGACTAGGGACTGATGGAACACTTATATCCAAGAGACAGACAAGGAGACCCCACTTTTGTGACCACAGTACACGGAGCAGAAATGGGGGCCTGATCTGAGGGGAGACCAATCTACAAGCTTGTCCCTGTGTAAACATGCTCCTCATACTGAAGAGTGACTGACTACACCAACCAAGCTCTCCCTAGGAAGCGAATCAGAGAGAGAGAGAATGAGGGGAGTTGATGATGGGAGCCGAGGTGGGAAGATACGCAGAAAAGCCAGGAAGTACTAGAAAAGAGAGACAAGGGGAAGCCCGGAAGAAGCAGGAGTAGATGCTAAAGGCTGGGAGGAGAACAAGGAGAGGATGGCGGCCTGGGCGGAAGCGGTAGAAGGAGAGGCTGTCACTGTGGCATGGAAGAACAGCAGCACTCACGTGACGAGAATCCAGCCGTGGCAGCCACACGGTACCAGAAACTGGCACTCCAGTGCCGGGACTGACAACTTGTTCCAGCTGATGCGATGCATGACTACCCCACTGAGTTCTGACTGTGAGGTCAAGATTCCCATTCACAGTTATATCCACACTTATCCTTACACGGATCTCTCATCTGTGTCTGATAACCTTAAAATAACCTAACTCAAGTGCCCCAGAGAGGCAGAAAGAAAGGGAGTTGAATGTCATGGTATGGGAGTTAATGGAAGAGAATGTTTCAAGAAGGAAATGGTCAATTACATCAAATGTTTCAGAAAGATCAAGTAAGACAACACTTGAAAAGAAACAGATTTGTTAACAAAAAATCTAAGAGCTGTGTGAGGGGAGGCAGAAGCCAGGTTGCCATGGATGATGGCATGAATGGGACCTAAGACCAGAAAGACAGCAGTACAAACCACACTTGCAAATGGTTCAACTTCGAAGAGAGAGAGAAAACCAAGGCTCTAAGTGGTGGAGTAGGAGGAGTCACATTTTTTAAGACAAAAGAGATTTGAATATATTCAAATACTGATGGAAAGAAGCTACTAATGGTGAGGTTGAAAACAGTTGAGAGAGGAAAACAACTAACAGGGCTAAGATGCTGAAGATATAAGAGGCCACCCAAGGCAGAAGGAGAGAAGGAGGCAAGGATGGCTGGGCACATGTACTGGGCTGTGTTAGGATCACATAGTAAAGGTATTTCCTACAATGGCTTCTATTTTCTGGGTGAATTAGAAAACGAGATTATTGGCGGACAGTGAAGGAGGACACATGATAAGAGCCTTGAGGGAATGGAAAATATTTGCAACGGTCATTTTGGAAAATGGCAGTGAGATCTACCCAGGAAAATGGTGGAGGATTACCAATTAGTGCAAAGGGCTCAGAGTGAGATCAAAGCCCATGGATCCAGCATAACACTCAGCCGTGCTTTCGTGTGATTTCCCGTCTCATTCAGTGGGGCAGGAGAAGCAGCAAAAACATCACTGGTTGGGATTAATTCCAAGTTAAGGGAAGAAGGGCAGGGGAACAAGAAGTTTAAGGATTAGGTATTAGGGATTTAAGTATTATGAAGAGAATGATTGAGGAAATCAATCATTTCCTCAATGATTGATTGAGGAAATGGCTGGCTCCAAATGGAGTGAAGACTAGCAAGTCTAGTAGGAAGAAAAAATATGAGGATCAAGGGATTGAAGAGAGAGAGAAAACCAAGGCTCTAAGTGGTGGAGTAGGAGGAGTCACATTTTTTAAGACAAAAGAGATTTGAATATATTCAAATACTGATGGAAAGAAGCTACTAATGGTGAGGTTGAAAACAGTTGAGAGAGGAAAACAACTAACAGGGCTAAGATGCTGAAGATATAAGAGGCCACCCAAGGCAGAAGGAGAGAAGGAGGCAAGGATGGCTGGGCACATGTACTGGGCTGTGTTAGGATCACATAGTAAAGGTATTTCCTACAATGGCTTCTATTTTCTGGGTGAATTAGAAAACGAGATTATTGGCGGACAGTGAAGGAGGACACATGATAAGAGCCTTGAGGGAATGGAGAATATTTGCAACGGTCATTTTGGAAAATGGCAGTGAGATCTACCCAGGAAAATGGTGGAGGATTACCAATTAGTGCAAAGGGCTCAGAGTGAGATCAAAGGCCATGGATCCAGCATAACACTCAGCCGTGCTTTCGTGTGATTTCCCGTCTCATTCAGTGGGGCAGGAGAAGCAGCAAAAACATCGCTGGTTGGGATTAATTCCAAGTTAAGGGAAGAAGGGCAGGGGAACAAGAAGTTTAAGGATTAGGTATTAGGGATTTAAGTATTATGAAGAGAATGATTGAGGAAATCAATCATTTCCTCAATGATTGATTGAGGAAATGGCTGGCTCCAAATGGAGTGAAGACTAGCAAGTCTAGTAGGAAGAAAAAATATGAGGATCAAGGGATTGCAAAGAACAGCTATTTGGGAGTAAAAGACAGAGTTCTGGGATATAAGAGGCTCTGGAGAACTTAAGATTTCAGAGGTGGAGAAGTTCTAGGTGATTAGAAGGTCCTCAATTTGGCCATGTGCAATGGATTGTGCTGTCTGTCCTTCCAGCTTCCCTTTCTCTGGGAGCTTTCTATTTTCACATGTGGTTCTTGTTGAACAGATTATCCTGGAGCTTCACCCCACCCTCACTGCTGGGGCTGGCATAGGTGCAAGTCAGTGAGCTCATCCTTCTGGCTACAGTGATTGACTCAGGGGTAGGTATATGACTAAGAAGAGATGATCAGACCATTCCCTGAGAATTCTTCGACGAATGTTAGAGGCAGAGAATCTCCCTTTCTCAGCTCAGTTTCTCACTTATGAAGGTCTTATAACTGCTTATGGGCATCTTTCTTGGCAGCCTAGAGAAACCATCTCCAGAAGGAGCAAGTGAGTCCAATGTACAAAGACAAATCAAGCATAGACAAAAGATGGATAAAAGCCAAAAGAATCAGAAAACAATGTACAGTCCCTGGATCTAGCCAAGCTGAAGCTAGTCTAACCCTGGATCTTTCCACAGGGCGCCCCAAAATCTCTCTGCTTAAGGTGCCATGCCATGCCAAGTCACTTCAGTCGTGTCTGATTCTTTGCGACCCTATGGACTGTTGCCCTCCAGGCTCCTCTGTGCATGGGATTCTCCAGGAAAGAATACTGAAGTGGGGTGCCATGCTCTCCTTCAGGGGATCTTCCCAATCCAGGGATCAAACACACGTCTCTTGCGGATCCTGCATTGTATATTCTTTACCACTGAGCCGCTGGGGAAGCCCCTGTTTAAGGTAGTCTACATTAGAAACAACACTGTGCTCAGTCGCTTCAGCTGTGTCCAGCTCCTTGTGACCCGATGGACTTTAGCCCCCCAGGCTCCTCTGTGCATGGGATTTCCCAGGCAAGAATACTGGAGCTGGTTGCCATTGCCTTCTCCAGGGAAGGTCTTCCCAACCCAGGGATCAAACCAGTGTCTCCTGCAGTTCCTGCATCACGGGAGGAATCTTTACCACCGCTGTAATCTTCAGTCTAGGAAGCGAGTGGATGAAACAAAGGACGTAAAGGTATGAGAGCTGAGATGGCCGAGAAACTGAAGACAGAACGTTGCGTCGGTTTGCTTTACAGGCTTGAAAGTCATCTAAGACAAAGATAGTTCTTGATGGGAGTGGAAAAGACACCTCTGAACCATTTTGACGGTCTTAGGTAGGAAGAATAGAAAAGATGTTAGTAGGTAGCTGTTATAAGGATAGAAAGTTATATGTTAGCAGGATCCTCAAAAGAATGATGCTTTTTATACAAAGGCGAAAGAAGAATAGGTGGAGGTTGCAGAGGGGAAAGGGAGACACCCAGACCCCACTTGCTGAAGAGAAGTTAATGGAGTGTGTAATAATGGAGATAAGATCGCTACTGGGTAAAGTGGGTGGAGCCTTCTCAGTCAAAGGGTATGTAACCATGAGATGCTTCCCCAGTGAAAATTAGGCTCCATTTCTAAGTCCTAAATATGACTACAATATCAATAGTGTAGACATTCTTTAACAACTTTTCCACCTACCACTCTGTCCTTGAATCACTCACTGTTCATCTGAAAGACAAAGTAAAACTGGAAATTTAGATGGATCAGGTTTAAATTTATTTTTCCTAATTGAGATATTCTATGCATACATTGAAATGCCTCAGACAAGGATCATAATAACAACCTCAGTAGCAATTATCACTCAAGTGATTCAGTAGAATAGCTAATGTTAAATATTTTAATACTCTGTTTAGAAAATCACATCACACTAATGCATTTTATTGGACAACATAAAATATACATGGATATTACAGAAGAACAAAATCTAACACAAAATTTTGTGAAGCTGGCCTGCCAACTCTGGAATGATGCCACAGAGGGAAGGACGACAACCAGCTGGCACTTCAACAAGGAGGGTAATAGCTTTATTAAAGGGTTGTCAATGTGTCTAAATGACACATACTTACTGTGCGTGTGGACATATGTACACAGACAGAATTTATTTTCCTTATCCCATGTAGATGTAGTCTTTCCACCAGAAATTCCTAAAGATTATATTCAAAGATTTTAAATATTTCTATGTGTATTAAAGATGATTGTATCTGTACTTGAGTTATATATTGGAAATATTATATAAATGTTTATTTGGATAAATGGATTGTAATTCTGCATGATAAAGAGAAAGTACAGTACTAACCACTCCAGACCCTTTTTAATCTCTTATATGAGTATAGAACTAAAATTAATGAATAGAATTAATAAATCAAAATGGAAAAATAATATTATGACACAGTTTATGTGTTTTAAAGTGATTTTGTTAAAAGTACCTTTGAAGAGTGTAGAAAGGAAATGTACAGAGAAAATAAATTAAGTTCATCAAAGAGTGTATTTGGAAAATGAAAACAGAGTGAATGTACAAAAACTGATCTCCCCCTGCCCTGGCCTGGACCTTGTACCCCTAAGCAGACTGCGTTCCATGGCCTGGTTGGAGCAGAACCACGCAGTCCTTCCATCCCCTAGGGACCCAAAGAGTGAAGTCACCTTCTCTACTGAGGCGAATGTGGTCCAGGGCAGCAGCCACTGCACCTTTGGAGCACATGAAGGGATCTCCACAGACCTCAGACCTTCCCCTGGGAGAATACACAGCTACCTCCCTGACTGTGCAGACCTGGTCCATGTCCTCAGTCAGGGCCGTGCAATAGCAAAATTCACGTGATGGAAAAAGCCAGGCAGAGATGACCCACCCCCCAGCAGAGTTCCTTGGTCACACTCCCTCTCCGTCAGCTGTCATCCAAACTGTGTGAAACTCATTTCCTTTCTTCTCGTCTTCATTTTCTCTTAATGTTTGGGTAGAATCTATTTTCGTCCTTCTCCTTTAATTAGACACTCATGTTTTAAGGGATTATATAAAAATAATTTTTTGGAGGAAAGAAATAAGAATATTGCCCAAAGAGAAACATGTTTTTCTTGGGAAGCTAAGAATATGGTTTCCTGAAAAATATTTGTGAAACAGAAATTTAAAAAGAAGACATAAAATAATAGAAATGCACTATGTAATCTCCATCTTGAGAAAGTTATCCCTGTTGTCATTACATTTGATATAAAGTAAAAGTAAAGTGAAAGTCACTCAGTTGTGTCCGACTCTTTGTGACCCTATGGACTGTAGCTGGCCAGGCTCCTCTGTCCGTGGAATTCTCCAGGCGAGAATTACTGGAGTGGGTTGCCATTTCCTTCTCCAGGGGATCTTCCCCACCCAGGGATCGAAACTGGGTCTCCTGCATCGTAGGCAGATTCTTTACCATCTGAACCACCAGCAAACCCCTTACATTTGATATATTGGTGAATAAACTGTGTAGATTTTCTTTATCTTATAGGTATTTTATATTAAAGTTTTTATTTTTCAAGTACAGAGCTCAGCTCTGTTCAAACATTAAAGATTACCACCATATGTGATGTGGTTGCAACATTTTAAAGAGGTACTTTTCTTTTTTTTTTTCTTTTTCTTTTTACAGGACCTCAGACTTAGGTGTGTTTCATTCAAATAATTAGGTATATGGCTTTTTAAAGAAATCATAGGGGCTACACTTATAAATCTCAGTCACTTCTGGGCTTCAATCCTTGATTGTAAGGATGTTTTCCTTCCTTTCTGATGCAGGTATTTTCACCAGAATCACTGGAGTTCAAGAGAAACAGAAAGACTGAAATAACAGAGAAAGTGTGGCCTTTGATACAGAGTCAGTGTGGTATTCATTCTGGTTCTGTCAGTAATTAATTGCAATCATAGGTAGGTAACCAAGATCACCTCTCTGAGCCTCATAGAGGTTATAAAATAGAGACATTACAGTTTCTTCACTTTATTATTGTGAGAATTAAAGTGTAGTAGAATCCCTGTCTCATAATAGATACCACATAAATGCTCATTCCCTACCATCATTTCCAGTTCTAGATACGCAATCTAGTAAACTTTGTCTTGAGTCCCAAAGTGCTAGCAAATAAAATAATAGCTGTTTATAGTGCCAAACACTTACCTAAGGATGGCACTCTTAAGATCCTTTTTTGTCCATGATGAATTCTTGCAGTATCATCAGAGAATGCAATATTCACACACTGATCAAATTTCAAAGGATTGGGGAATTTATGAAATTGAGAATTGCATCCTATCTCTCATCATCTCCACCTCCCTCAAGAGAGACAGCGTTCAGTGAAGAAGTTGTAAGTGGCCTTGTGGGGGCCTATCTTGCTTTGCAGTCACGTCTTTGAGGCAGGCACAGGTGACAAAGTGATGCTGGTGTGCATGGATCAGTCTTTCCAGACATTTGATGATTTCATAGTCAGGAAGAGCAAGACTCATCATGTTCAAGCCCAGCATCTGAGAAACCACCTCCCTGAAGTCCACCAGCTGCAATAGCAAACAGAACCACGTGAATCAAGAGAACAGATCACAGCAACACTGCCAGATCAAACGCAATCCGAACACCAGTGGAAAACCCGGGTCTGCATGAGCTAGCCTAGTTACTTACTCTCGCTACTCTTCAGTTAATTCTCTCATTTATAAAAAGANGCTTTACAATTGTTGGTGTGGTTGAGTCTGTCACATGATACATGCTTATGCACTGGGGCGTTAACTGGGCAATGAACCTCTTCAACTAAAGGAAGAACCAATGGCAGAAGAAGTATGAGCTGATGAATATGGAGGACTTCTAAGTGTTGATCAAATCACATCACACGGATTGCCATCTCACAGCACATTGGACTCTCTGGGACAATTATTGGTCCATTACAAAAGGAAAAATGGGAGTTTGGGGCCAAAGAAGATGGACAACATGTGACTTAAACCCCTTAAGTTCTCATAGACTGGTTGCTGTGATTCTAGGCAAAAGCAGGAGTAGATCAACTAGAGATGGCCAGATGACCCCTTCCATTTCAGAAAAGGTGTGAACCAATTCAAAGACAGATATTCCTCCAGGAGAAGTGCCGTCCAAACATCATCTCCATGTGCTCATTCACTTCTCAAGCCCCTTCCTATGCTGAGTCCAACATGGGAAACTAAACACTCTCTCCAGCCTAATCTCCCCAGTGAAAAAGCTTTCCTCAAACTTTTCCACCCTCTGAATATGGCCAAAGCTATTAAATGCTGAGCAGTTCCCACTGAGACCACTCACTCTTGGAGTTTGGCCTTCCTCAGCTCTGCCTGACACATGAGCCAAAGCAGAGGCTGCTAAAGAGAAAAAATATCCTGGGATCAGAGTCCTCAACTGTGCCCTTCTGGGCTGCAGAGAGCGAGTGAGATGAAAGCCAAAAAGCAGGGGTCAGGCTGCCCAGGAAATGTTTCTTTCTGCCTGACCTCCTGATGGCCTCACCAGATAACACCCCGCCTTGCACCCAGCGGGCGCACAAGTTCTGTTTTATGGTTTACATCTGGGCTCCGCCGGCCATCGGGTCTGGGTGCCACTGTTTGTGATTTGGGACCGTTTCCTGCAACTGATCTCTGCTGGAGATAAAATTTCCCTCCTGAGGCTGAAGCCCTGGATAACGTTAGAAGATGTGGGATAACGTGAACTTTAGAGGCAATCAGCAAACATAATAAAAAAAAACCTCTCCATGGCCAGAACCTGGTTTTTCACAGGCTTTCCATGGCTTTGATAATAACATCTTTTTCTTTGCTACAATTCATGCCATTAAAGGTGAATTGCTTTTCTTAGTGGAGTAAATCATAATGGTTGTTTTGATGCCAAAAAGATGGGAGAGGGAAAATATAGATATGTTGGAATTATGTAGAAAGCCTGATTAAATGGTTATAAAGAAATACATGAATAATTATCACACTTTTGAATTGTCCTATCTTTCCAAAATAAGGTTTCAACACCAGATTTCTACCCACCTTCCTTTCTCTCTTTTCTGCTTCTTCCAGAGATTTTTTTAGTGTCTTCATTTCACTGGTTACAACTTCTAGCATGTTCCTGGCCCTCTCTTTATTCTCCTTAGCTTCATGTTCTGTAGTCTCCAGTTCTGATTTGACAGACAGCAGCTTTTTCTCAGCTTTCTCCTTCATCTTTTCCAGTTTGTCTCTGGATTTATTTAGGTCCTCAATGGCTTTGGTCTGTTCCAAAGTTTTAATCTAAGAAGTCAAAGAGAATGCTAATGATTTCGTCTGCATTTATTTAGGAAAACTGTATAAACAAGACAAACCAGAAGTCAATGAAATTCATTTAACAACTTTTTAAAATAAATAAATAATGGAATGCAAAATGATGTAACTGCTGTGAATAACAGTTGGCCCGTTTTCAAACTGTAAACAACTAGTTGACCTATGACCCAGCAATTTCACTCTAAGGCACATATATCCAAGAGAACTAAAAACTTATGTCCATACAAAATCTGTGCATGAATGTTTCTAGTAGCACTATGCATAATCACCAAAAACTGAAAATAGCCTGAATATCTATTAATGGATGAGTAAATAAAGAAGATGTGGTATATCCATACAATAGAGTATTATAAAGCAATAAAAAAGGAACAAAGTACTGTTAGATATTACAATACAGATAAGCCTTGAAAACATTATGCTAAGAGGAAAAAGTCACAAAAGTCACAAAAGACCATTTATTGTATGATTCCATTTACATGAAGGATCCAGAAAAGGCCAGGGGCTGGTGGGAGTAGAGAATAAAGAGTAACTGCTGACAGATACATGGTTTCTTTTTTGGGGGTGATGAAAATATTCTGAAATTAGATAGCAGTGATGTTTACACAATTCTGTGAATATACTAAAAACCATTGAATTGTACATTTTTAAAAGAGTGAGATTCATGGTATGTAAATTACATCTTGGTAAAACTGAGATCAGAAAGCATATTTACAAAGAAGCCTCTAAAAAAGGATCAAAAGGAATTCCTTTGAAATAAATTAAGAAGTGCATATGGGATGGACAAAGCAGAAAGACTAGCAGAGCTCTGAATTTAGTTCTGAGCCTCCTAACAGTTTAGACAAGGCCTACGGTCATAGTCTCCAAGAAAAAGCAAGAATTTGTGTTTCAATTTTATTGAAAATCATTTAAAGGTAACATCTGAAAGTAATAAAAATAAAAGATACCAAATAATGAGTGCGTGCCATCTCCTCCCTTCCCCTTTCATTACATCCCTTCTTTCCTAAGAAGGAAAGATAATTTCTTGCTGCATCTACTCCCATCCTGTGGTTCCCAGGATGAAGCTGAATAATGGGGAGAGTGTCAGGGAAGAAGAAAGCCTGAGAGACTAAACTGATCTACCGAGAGAGGAATGGAAAGAGTCTCTGGTAAACAGGATGCAGAAACTACTCTTGGAAGAAACTTGAGAGGATGGAAGAGGGACTTGTGAGGAGATGTAGGATGCCATGTATGGAGGAAACTAAAGAGAGAGAAATGGAAAAAAAGATGCTTTAAAATATTGCCACTCTTGATGAATGAAATCCTCCTTTGGTTTTCTCTTTTATTCTTCTTCTTTTTTTTTTTTTTAGTAACAATAATAAAGCAACCACTATCGTTTAGTTTTTCGGACAGCTGATTGTTTATTGCTGAGGGATTTTGAGATTGTTGTGATTTCCCTAGACTGCATTTGGATGCTACCATCAGAGATTAAAATCTTGACCGAGTCTTGGGGTTAGAGCGCATCTTCACAGAGACTGAGTTCCAGAATTATGGCGTAAGGAGCACATGCTGACCTGACCTAAACTCTGAAGAGTCCTCCAACACTTCTGGAAAGTCAGAGGAATGGTAGAAGCTATTCTCAGATTGTATTATGACATGCTATGGAAGAAAAGTGCCTGCTTGGGATACTGATGTCCAGATGGAAAATCATCAGATTTATAGTGTCTGGGTGATGTCATTAAACTGAGAAAGCTTGAGTCAAATGCCTAAACTGGAAACTTGTTTTTACCTACCACCACACACACACACACACACACACACACACACAACTTCTTAAGAAACTGAATTCCTTTCCAGGCAGAGAGGAAGTTGATGGCAGACATGCTTGCACAAGTTCAACATTTTTTTACTGGTTCCATGAAGGAGAGAGGAAATCCCTTGGGAAACTGACAGCTGCTGTGGGTCTTACAATTGAGAAGGTGCAAGAACAACTGCTATAGCTTGGGAAACATGGAGGAAATAAAGCAACACCAAGGAGAAGGGGTTCTGAGTCAGCTTTCTAGCCAATGAACTAGCAGCAGAAGAGCAAGCACTCGAGACAAGGAAATGGGGGCTGACCTTGGAGATCATTCATGAACCCCAAGTTATCAAAACCCGTATTTGAATATAGATGGTAAATCAGTACCAGTATATTACAATAGTATCGCAGTGTTGATTCCTGGGTGCAGCGATTTTACTATGGTCACACAGAAGAATTCTCTTGTTCTTAAGAGATACCTGGGAAGTATTTAGGCATGAAGTGACATGATGTACTTTCAAATGATTCCTCTCTCTGTCTTTGTCTTGCTTTCATTATGCAAAACACAACAATCAGTAAAATGTCAACAATCTACATGAACAGTAGAAGAATGTCTGTTATGCTATTCTTGCAACTGTTCTCTATGTTTGAAATTTTTCAAAATAAAAACTTGAGAAGGGAGCTTTCCCAGGCATGATTGAGGCATGTATGAAGTATCCTATCAGTAAAAAATTCTGAATATATATGCACATTTATTTATAAATTATATGAACAAGAGCTCTAAAAATACATTCTGTATTTTTTCAAATATTTTACAAATAGGGAACGTTACATGGGCGAAATCAGTATCAACCTTAAAACAAAGTGATCTCCCTTTCACAGAGATCCCATTCACGTGCCAACAATCTCAGGGCTGCAGAGAAAATACAGGGTAAAGACAGAAGTTTCTGGGATTGCTACATGGAATTAAAAACGTTGTATTAACAGAAGAGGAGATATATTCAGCCTTTTTGCTCAGCTTGGAAAAAACATTTACAGTGGGCCATCTACCAAAAAAGATGGAACACAGCTTGGAGAGTTAGAAGCACGTAAATCAAGTCCTAATGAGAAGAATTTATAGCCAAGAATTTCTCAAAAATATGAGACTTTATCACAATCCTGAGGGCTGCCTGAATTCCTGTTGTCAGGGAGCAAGTTACAGAGTCCAAGCCAAACCACCAGGACAGAACTGGGAGCCAACATTGGGAAGGCGTTCTCAGCCTCCTAAGTCAAACAAGATTGCTGAGAGGGGAGCAGGGCAAATGGGTTTCTTAATCCAACTAAGAGAACTTCTCAGAGCCAGCCCAGAGTTCAGTGAGAGTCTGTGTCCCTAAGTTTTTCCCAGTGGGTCTGAGATGGTCATAAACAGGACTGAAGCACCATGCAGACCCCAGCCAGGATAGATCACATTCTGAGACTGTTTCCCTTCTGGTGAATAAAGTATCTGGCATCTGCCTCCTGGAGGAAAAACATTTCAAATCTGGCGAACTATTCTCTCCTGTGTTAAGGGCCAAAGGCTCTGAAAGAGAAGGTGATTAAATGTAAAATCTGATCCATTCAATCTGTGAGAGAACCTACATCCTCCACCTGGAGGGTTTTCTGGAGACTGTATGGAAAATAGGACCCTAAGGTTACAGCCACTATGGAGAACAGTATAAAAGTTCCTTAAAAAATAGACTTACCATATGACCCTGCGATCCCACTCCTGGGCATATATTTGGAGAAAAACATGATCCAAAAGGATACATGCACCCCAATGCTCATTGCAGCACTGCTTACAATAGCCAAGAAATGCCCATCAACAGAGGAATGGATAAAGATGTGGTACATGTATAAAATGGAATATTAACTCAGTTATAAAAAAGAATGAAATAATGCTATTTGCAGCAACATGGATAGACCTAGAGATTATCATACTGAGTCAAGTAAGTCAAACAGAGAAGAAATATTGTATGACATCCCTTATATGTGGAATCAAAAAAAGAAATGATACAAATGAACTTAAAAAACAGTAAGAGACTCACAGAGAACAAACTTAAGGTTGCCAGGAGGGAAGGGATAGTTAGGGACTCTGGGAAGGTCATGTACACACTGTTATATATAAAATAGATAACTGTATAGCACATGGAACTCTTGTCAATGTTATATGTTAGCCTGGATGGAAGGAAAGTTTGCAAGAGAATGGATTTATGTATACATATGACTGAGTCCCTTTGATGTTCACCTGAAACTATCACAACATTGCTAATCAACTATACTCCAATACAAAATAAAAAGTTTAAACAAACAAAAAACAAGACCCTGCAGAAGCCCTGTGCTGTCCAGGCACTCTCTTAAAGGGGTGGGACAGCAGAGGAGAAGGGTTGCCCAGGGATGCTGCACCCCTCCGCAAAGAACCCCAGAGATTTTCCTAGGAGGGAACTGGAACAGAAATCATAGGAAGCTGTTCTACTTCGCAGGCTGAGTTCACCTCCACTCCCCCACCTCACCCAGGAGGTCCTTTCTCACAGGTTCTGCTTGATGCATACATTCAAAGCTGGGTGAGTCCAGGGCAATTCAAGGTCAATGAGTCAACATAATCAGAGTTCAGTTCATGATTGGTAGGTTAGGGGGGGAAATATAAACTAAGGCCACACTGGCCAGATTGGAGAGCATTCTGAAGTGTGGGAGGAGCATAGGAAGCCGAGTCAGTAAGCAGATGAGAGCTTTGCTGGAGGCTGAAGAGTCTTATCCCCTTTGAGTGTGTCCTTGAGAGACTACAAGAAAGATAATGGTTGTTTTCCACTACTTTCTGGTTATCTGACTACTGATTTTTGGCCACAGCTCCCTACTAAGATTGTGTCCTGTGGTACAGTCTGAAAGCTCTCCACTGAATATCTGGTCTTCCTTTTTTTATTACTTCCCAGAATAAAGACCCATCTCTCAGGCTGACTTCATCTAAGTGAGTTCCAGGGACTAAGTTCCTGCCAACGAAGACTAAAAAGTGTTGTACGGTTCCTGGAAAGTGGCATACTGGGTGTCCTTCCACCTTGCTTCCTGCCTCGTGCCTGGAATGAGGCAGAGCCCAGGTAACTAACTTTCCCTAAGAGGTGATCTTGAGGAGGAAATTTATTGCCAGGATGGTAAAGTGGAGAGAACAAGCCAGGATTAGTGATGACCATGAAGCTATCCTCCTAAACATGGAATGACTACATCCATACTTCCTTTCAGTGAGAAAGCAGCAAACATCTCTCCTGACCAAGCTACTGTTGTGCATTTCAGCCTTTTCAGCTGAAACTAATCATAACTCACACCAGCTATGAAGCAGCTGGCATTTCATGAGTTATGCAAAGAACTGGAGTCCTGCCACCTGTTTCAGTCCCTGCATTTGCATTTGTGCATAAGGCTACACTTCCGCCAATTAGTAACATAACTTTAATTATCCTAGGTTAATGAAGAAAGAGCAAAGGTAGAGTTAATACATAAATAATGTGTTCATGCCAAGCGGAGGCCAAACTGTGTCATGATATATGTACAAACAAAGCATCTGCAGCAGCAACATAAATGCACATAGTAGAATAATTCACTCTGTGAATTAATAATTCACTCTTAGACAACATAAACTGTCCATGTGCCAGAACCAAAGGAGCCCATACCACACACAAGCAGTTGGTACTATGCATTCTTATTAATGGTGATTTCAGTGAAATAAAATCTAGTATAGTGATTAATATTGCCCATTTTAAATTATATATTTATTTATTTATTTGACTGCACCAGGTCTTAGCTGTGGTACTTGGGATCTTTAGCTGTGCCATGTGGGAATCTAGTTATCCAACCAGGGATCGAATAAGGATCAACCAGGATCCGACAGACCCCTGCAGGGAGAGAGCAGAGTCTTAGCCACTGGACCACGAGGGAAGTCCCCAATATTGCCAATTTTTAGATTCTAGTTTTACACTTTGATTTCTAAATTGATTTGGATTTTATAGTGGTAAAAATGTAATGAGATTAAGAAATTTCTATACAGTATTAAGTTTGTACATATGTAAGCAATATTAAAACAAAATTACTCTGGCTCAACACAGGAAGGGGAAATCTAGACAAGACTTTTTCTTTCACAAAGGGATTTCTACAGTACTTATGTTTGCCTGCTAAACTAAAATTTAGTAACTTATCTGGAAAGGTCCACTTTTCCCTCATCTAGAATTTCAAGAGGAAATTTAATACATGGGTCTTTAAAAGGAAGATTTGAGTAACCTAGGAGTCAAAGTCTTCAACCATGTTTTGCAATAGACATAGAAATGCATTTAAAAAAAAACTGGCATGCAAATGTTCAAAACAGACATATTCATCATAAACAAAAAAAAATGAAAATAATCCAAATGTCCATCAGATACTGAATAAACAAAACATAGTATGTCCAAACAATGGAATATTATTCAGCCATTAAAAAGAAATGTGATGGTTAAGTTTATGTGTCAACTTGACTGGGCCACAAGGTCAAGATATTTGGTCAAGCATTATCATGAATTTTCTGTGAGGGTGTTTCAGCATAAGATTAATATTTCCCTTCCATAATTTGGGTGAACTTCAACCAATCAGTTGAAGGCCTGAATAGAAAAAAGACTGACTTCCCCTGAAGCAAGAGAAGAACTCTTCCAGCAGACAAGGTTTGGACTGGCTCTTCCTGGGTTTCCAGCTTGCTGGCTCATCCTGCAGATTCTGAACTTGCCAGCTTCCATAATTATGTAGGTCACTTCCTTAAAATAAATCTGTGTGTGTGTGTGTGTGTGTGTGTGTGTGTGTACACATCCAATTAGTTCTGTTTCTCTGGAGAACGAGAAGAACTCTTCCAGCAGACAAGGTTTGGACTGGCTCTTCCTGGGTTTCCAGCTTGCTGGCTCATCCTGCAGATTCTGAACTTGCCAGCTTCCTTGTGTGTGTGTGTGTGTGTGTGTGTGTGTGTGTACACATCCAATTAGTTCTGTTTCTCTGGAGAACTCTAATTAATACAGGAATGAAGTACTGATCACAATATGGATGAACCTGGAAAACACAAGAAGTGAAAGAAGCCAGAGGCAAAAGGCTCCATACTGTATGGTTCCATTTATATGAAATGTCCAGAATGGGCAAACTCACAGAGACAGTAGCTCAATCAGTAAAGAATCTGCCTGCAGTGCAGGAGACCCGGTTCAATCCCTGGGTCAGGAAGATCCCATGGGGAAGGAAATGGCAACACACTTCAGTACTCTTGCCTGGAAAAGCCCATGGACAGAGGAGCCTGGCAGGCTACAGTATGTGCAGTCTCAAGAGTCGGAAATTACTTACTTAGCAACTAAATCATCATAGAGACAGAATGTAGATTATTGATTTACAGAGTTTGAGGAAAGGATGAACATGGTGTTTTGTCTCCTGGGTTTTTTTTGGGGGGTGTGGTGGATAACAGACAAATTCTAGAATTAGGGAATGGAGATTGTTGTACAACCTTGTCAATATATTACACCAAAAACTACTGAACTTTGTACTTTCAACGAGTGAATTTTATAGCCTGTGATTTCTATCTCAGTTTTTAAAATAAAACATATAGAAATGTCGTCCAAATGATTATTTTGGATTGACCATCTATAAATGGTGAAATTAATTCTTAATTGAGTAAGAGTGTCCCCCCTGACCCATGCAAAAAATATGTCTACCAGAACCTCAGATTGTCATCTTATTTATAATAAGGGCCTTTGCAAGTGTAATTAAGATAAGAAGCTTAAGGTGAAATCATCCTGGATTTGGGTGGGTCCCAGATCCACTGAGGGGCTTCCCTGGTGGCTCAGATTGTAAAGAACCCACCTGCAATGTGGAGACCTGGGTCAGATCCCTGGGGTGGGAAGATCTCCTGGAGGGCATGGCAACCTACTCCAGTATTCTTGCCTGGAGAATCCCCATGGACAGAGGAGCCTGGTGGCTATAGTCCATGGGGTCGCAAAGAGTCAGACCCCACTGAACGACTAACCACAGCACAGCACAGCAGATCCACTGGAGCTGGTACTCAGCACTGAGTATAAAGCTTATTGTTTAAAACGTAGACCAGAACATGTTATAGGACATAATTACCTCTAATTAAGATTTTTCTCCTTGATGGTGAAAGAATTGAAAGAAAAATTAAAGGGAACCCATTTTTCACTTAAGGATTGAACATTATACAATACCCCATCCTGTACCACCTAGAAGCACTGTGCATACACCAGTGGTGTGTGCTCCACATTTGAAAACGTTGCTTACAATGTTGATGCTGGAATTGGAAATTCTCAAGCCAGCCATAGTGACCAGAAACACAAATTGTATAATCACATCATCCAAAGAGCAAAACTTCATTACGAGAATCAGGCTTTCTTGTGAAAAGGTTAAGTGGAAAGACGCTTGTAAATAATTAAAAATAACGCAGTGAAAAAATGATGAAGACCGAAGGTCAAAGTCGCTGAGACAAACGGGAACAGACTCTACAAACACAGCCCTCAGTTTCCACTTGCTGCTTCCTGCTTCCGCTCTCTCTTCCCGCTTCCGCTCTCTCTTCCTACTTCCGCTCTCTCTTCCTGCTTCCGCTCTCTCTTCCTGCTTCCGCTCTTAGCTACCGCTAGGGTGACTCCTCTTAACTCAACGCTTCCGGTTCACAGGGTTGTCTTGGGCCAGATGTCCTATGGCCACTCTCTCTACACTTAGCCAGGGTCACGACTTAGGACATCTGCCCCTGAGCCTCTGGTGGCGGGTCACCCCCGCCTTCTCCCACAGCACAGTCCTTCTCACATCTTTAGCCACCTTCCATATTCTCCATGAGCGCAAACGGAGCTTCAGGCTCTGGAATGGGTGCAGTCTAGGCCCCCTGCCCCAGCACTCCTGCAGCCCCTGCCAGCCAGGATGGGAGCAACTGCATGCTGATGTCAGAGAGCCTCCCCACAACCCACCAGACCCACATCCTAAAGGTCAATTTCAAGGTGTGAGCGGGGTGTCCAGGATACTTACCTCCGACACTTTCTCCTCACCCAGGGACCCCCATCAGATGCTTCCCCTAGCTTCTCCTTCCTTTCCATTCAGATGTGTCCCTTCCCCTGGGCTATGTCTGCCCTTCGATTCTCTAGGGAAGCAAGCCTCTGTTTAGCTACCTCCTTTTGATGCCAGAAGGGCTTGGCGGAGGTAGGGGGGAAGAGCTAATGACTCAGAAGGGAAAATCGAGTGGGAACTATGCCGTAAGATATGGTTCTGCTACATAGGTTCAACTACTGGCTTTATTCCAGATTCCTTTTCCCAACTGATCTGTCTCCAGACTCAGAAACATTCCATTTCAGAGCCCTCATCTGCAGAGAGGAAGGACATCACTGTTGCCAGTATGCACTATGTATACCTGCCAGTGTATATGAAGTTAACATATTATTGCCAGGGGCATATATGCCAGGGCATATTATATGCCAGGGGCATACACACGTGACATTTGGATATTTTCATTAAATCCTAAGTTTTCATTTCATTCTTCTCTATACTCATTAGAAGTCAAAGACCTTGAATCCAGGAAGCACGTGGCCCCAGCCTGTCTTCCCTCTTCCCTGCTTGGTGTGACAATATCCCACAGCATAACACACACCCTACTGCCGTCTGATCCTTCTCAGTGAACACTTGTGTGTATTCATTTTCTCATCTTCTCTGAGCGAATGCCAATGCAAAGAAAAAAAAAGTCTATATGATTCCTAATGTCATAGTCACCCACACTTTGAAGAAATGTTTTTATTTTATGCACATCACATCACCCCTTTTTGACTTGATTTTTCATTCAGCAACTATGGATGGCTTCATTTCAGATACTGAAGAGACACGAAGTTGATCTACCCTGCTGATCTGTGAAATTTGTTGCATTTTCTCACAGCTCTAAAAAATCAGAGAAAGTTTTGTTTTTTTTTCCTAGCATGTCCCTTATAAGGCTGTCACTCTTTTGCATAAATTTTTATGGAAACAGTGACAAGGAACACAGTTGAGCACTTGCCTTAAGTTCATTGGTGTCAGCCAGTTTGGCTTTGAGCTCGGTGTTCAGCTCTTGACACACACTCAGCTCTTTCTGCAGCCTCTCCACCTTCTTCTGCAGCTTCCTGATGGTGACATTGGCCTCGTCCCTCTCCACCATCACAGCCGAGCGCACCTGCTTTTCCTGCTCCAGGTGGGCTATTTTCTGCCGGAGGAGGTTCATGTGCAGCTCTTTGCTCTCCAATCTTTCCTTCTGAGTCTTTAGCTGGTTTGATTAAAAAAAAGAAAAGGATTTTTTTTTTTTAGCTGTGATATTCCATTCATTTATTTTTTAGTTTTTTTTAAATTTATTTAATTTTAATTGCAGGATAATTGCTTTACAGTATTGCATTGGTTTCTGCCAAACATCAACATAAATCAGTCATAGGTATGCATATGTACCCTCCCTCTTGGACCTCCCTCCTACCTCCCTCCCCAGGGGATTTTTTAAAATAATCATTGAACAGTGAATATAAATGAATTCCTCAGATAATATTGATCTTTACACTTCAATAAGACTAATTTGTAAACCATCAAAAAAAGGTTATTGGATTCCTTTTCCTGATTGCATTTTTTTATACCTATTTTTCCAAGAATTAATTTGGTAGCTGCAATGTATGAGACAAAACAGCCACAGAAAATGCACCAAGGAGTAGGCTTTCAATGTCCCATTCCCTCCAACATGATGTGCATCGTAATAAAAATGTAAAATTACTTTTAAAACTACTAAAATGAGCTTATCAAGAGCAGAACATAATAAGACAGACAAAACCCTCTCCAACACCCCATGGCAACTATGCTCACACTGGTCTTTTTGAAAGAAGATATAGTGCAAATTAGCACCGAATACCCAGACTGACTAATTTCAACCATTTAGAAACATGTTGAGTAGCACCAAACATGGGATTTGATAAGTTTTTAAAATAAGCTACATGAAGGGGATTTTGAGGAAAGCTTTATTTATATATTGAAGATTTTAGAAATAGGTGTTAATTCACCTTCAAGAAAGTGTTATTTCATTAGTGTCTTTATTATACACCAGACCTATGCCATCCTCAAACCAAGCTGAACAAGGTCTGCACTTGGCACTTAGCATTGGCAGCCAAACTTAATGAAAGAAATTGAAATGTATTTTAGAAAAAGATTATAGACTATAGAAGGAGGAAAAAAATCCTCATGGTCTTCACATGTCACAATTAGTGAGTGGAATATTAAGTATAGGAACCTCATTCATCTATTACAGACACTGAAAATTGGAATCGTGTAGAAATATAGAATATTAGAGCTAAAAAAATCCCATTTTCTCTGATTATATAATCTGCATTAGTAAAGTGTTTGAAAGTGTGAAGAACTTTGTGAAATACGGGCTTAAATATCTTGCCAAGCAGTGACAAGCAATGTCCGTGCCCACAACCTTTTTTTTTAACAAGGCTCTTTTTTATTTCTGTAACTAACCTCCCTTCCCTGAGCTTCTTCCTGTCAAGTTCCACTCTATTGCAAATTTACCCTGGTAAATTCTGTACACTGGTCATTTTAATAATTATACAACACTTAAGAAAGAATAGTATTGGATATTGAGGGAAAATCAATTATCTGAGAACTTCAGAAAGGACTGCAGCTCAGTTTCATGTCTCTGATGGTAATAGGGGTTGTCTGCTTTCTTTTATAAAATATTCCTTAAGACACCATAAGTGGAGGTCATATATGAATAAAGCATCTTCTACGAACCAAGAGTTTAAAAATGCTGTTTTTAAAAAATTAGCATCATGAGATAGGTATCATTCCCATCTTAAATATGAGGAAATGAAGACAGAAAGGTATATAATTTGCCTAATGGCATACAGCTTGGTGGAGCCAAATTGAGAACCCAGATGTGAGCCATTAAGCAGCCTATACATGATAATTCTACCGTAGAATTTTCTCCTAAGACCTATTCTAATGATACATCTGTGTTTTCCTCTTTCTTTCCCCAATGCCAATAATTATATAACTAATAATTACGTTTTTATCCATCTCATCCATTCATTCATTTATGTACTCTAAACTGTTTTTAAGTCTTCCTTTGAGTGAGTGGAAAGTAAGCGCTACTCCCCTCTACTTTCTAGTGCAAGAGAGCTTATGTAAAGACATAAGCTTTTACTCTCCTCTTCTCCCCCAGTCATAGAAATAGTGATTTTTTTCAGCTAGGCAAATGGCTACAGAGTAAAGACTACAGTTTCCAGCCTCCCTTGCAGCTAGCTTTAACCATCAGAACACATTCTAACTGTCGGAGATAAACACAAGTTCATGTAGAAAACTCTGGGAGCCTCCTTTAAAAGATAGCTCATGCATGTTCTTTTGCATTTCTCTTCTTCATCCCTTTCTTTCTTTCAACTTCTGCCTGGTCCTAGGTACTTCTGTGAACCATGGTCATAAGGACCACCCTAGGGATGGGAAATTGCTAACTGAAAAGAGCCTAGGTCCTTGGAAACTTTACAGAGCAGAGATGTCACATTGACCCTAAGCTGCTACCTCCAGAAATGTATGTTAGGGGAAAAAAATACCAAAACCAAAAAGCAAAACAACAACAAAACTACTTCTAATTGCTTGAGTCTGCAACTTTGGGCCTCTATTACTCATAGTTAAACATAACTTTGGATGATACATTTACTTTCCCTTCAGGCTTGAAATCAAGACTCAGCTTCTGAACACACATTTGCATGTTTCCTATCCACATTGGCAAATATGGTGGAAGTACATTATTTTTCAAGATTTAAGTTTCTCAGAATTTCCTTTTCACAACACCCGCAATATTCCCTACCTTTCTCTGTAAATTGTGGGCGATCGTCTTGTTTTCAATGACTGCATTGCTCTCAAGGCGGACCAGCTGCTCCGTGCGAGCTAAAACTACATCCAGACGCATGTCAAAGCCAAGTTCAGCAGCCATCTGGTCTAACTTCATTTTCTCTGAAAGCTGATCCAGAAATTTAAGATACTAAACTCGAGAACAAGAATAAAAATGGGACACAAGAGTAGAATTAATAAGCCATCTCACAGAATCTATTTCTCCCAAGCTTACAGGGAGTTCTCATTAAACCCAGTACAGAGCCCAGCCCCTGACTCCAGTGCTTGGTGATGAATTCTTGAACCACCCTACGAGCTCCATGTTCTGTTTCTTGTCCAAATTTTCTTGACTCTTCTGGTCCATGGCCTTGATGTTTAGTCTCACATTACACACTCTTCTTAACCCTGTGTTGTTGTTTAGTCACTAAGTCGTGTCTGACTCTTTTGTGACCCCATGGACTGTAGCCCCCCAGACTCTTCTATCCATGGGATTTCCTAGGCAGTAATACTAGAGTGGGTTGCCATTTCCTTCCACAGGGGATCTTCCCAACTCAGGGACTGAACGAGGTCTCCTGCATTGGCAGACAGAAAATTTACACTGAGCTACCTGGGAAGCCCTGCCATCTGACAAATGAGGCAGGTCCCTGACTACATCCACATCTCTCCACTTTGGCTAGATGCTTCTGCTACCATGACCCTCCCAGCCCCAGGGATTACTGGCTAATCCAGCCCCTGCAGACCAATCATCTACATACCTTCCATGGCAGTTTTGTCCACCTAAGTGAGCCCTGGCCTCCAAGGTGGAAACTGACCACTTAGCCAACCACTTACTCTTCCTGGGTTCTGGTTCTACAAACCACGCTAAAACCAGAGCTCTCCATACAAACAAACATGGACAATGTTTTTAAGTTAAAATTCTTTAGAAAATGTCTTTAAAAGTTTTTAAGCATCAAGGATAAAGGAACAACTTTTTTTTTTCAAATTTTGTTGAATTTGTTATAGTATTGCTTCTGTTTTATGTTTTGGTTTTTTGGCTGGGAGGCATGTGGCATCTTAGGGCCCAGGAATCAAACCCATACCCCCTGCATTGAAGGCAAAGTCTTAACCACTGGACCATCAGGGAAGTCCCAACATTCTAAAATACAGCTGTATCAGGAAAGTCAAAGTTCATAGTTTAGTAGGTTAAAGTCACAAAACTACCTTAGGATCCTCCTCCACTTGATCTCTGGGGCTCATCTGATCACATTAGACATTAAATGCTTACTGAGTTCTTGACAGATGAATAAATCAACCTATGGGCTTTCTGTAACATAATTTCACGATTTGGGTTCTATCTTTGAAATTTCTTCTCATTGCAATAGCTCTTCATCCAACAGGCATTTTTAGGCAATTATATGTTGAAACAAGTGTCATTTTCTGATGACTGAAGCATGTCAGCTTAAAGTCCCAAACTACCTATATTTCAGTCATCAGGATGAAAGTATTTGTAAGTGTATATTTTCTAATTTTGTTGAAAAGCATACATAAAACTTCATCTTTCCTCTGTAAGTCACAATCATTACAGGCATCGTGGTTGTACTGTGTGACAAAACCCCAGACTGTGTTTGTCTCTGCATCAACAGTTTATCACTTCTTAATGCTCTGTCAGGCCCCCACCCCACTCCCAGCAGGGACTATTTCATTTCTAAATTATGCAAATGAGAGTGAAATAACTGCTATTGTTTGTATTTTAAATAAAATAGAGTTGGTAACTTTTCTGTAAAGGTATAAAAGCTTCATTTTCTATTTTTATTCCCCCATCCACTCAGCATGCAAAGATCTACCTACATCAGGCCAAGGGGGATTAAGAGAAGAGGGAGCCAAGACCCCAAAGAGGAAGCACCTTTTCAAGAATCTTGGCAAAGCCTCAGAAAGTTAAAGTTGCTGAAAGGATTCCTGTACATTTTGTTCATTTGAATCACAATGACTCACAACTTAGTATGAATATATTCTATGCTGTGTAAATTTCAATTACCTGTATTTAAATTTAATCTCTGTACACCTTTGCTTTTCAATCTTACATGCCTAGAAAAAGCAAGAGAATTCCAAAAATACACATCTATTTCTGCTTATTTACTATGCTAAAGCCTTTGACTGTATGGATCACAACAAACTGTGGAATATTTTTAAATAGATGGGAAACCAGATCACTTTACCTGTCTCCTGAGAAATTGGCATTCAGGACAAGAAGCAATAATTAGAACAGAACAATGGACTGGTTTCAAACTAGGAAAGGAGAATGTCAAGGCTGTATATTGTCACCTAGTTTATTTAACTTCTATGCAGAGTACATCATTCAAAATGCTGGGTTGGATGAAGCACAAGCTGGAATCAAGATTTCTGAGAGAAATATTAACAACCTCATATATGCAGATCATACCACTCTAATGGAAGAAAGCGAAAAGGAACTAAAGAACCTCTTGATGAGGGTGAAAGAAGAGAGAAAAAAAAGCTGGCTTAAAACTCAACATTCAAAAAACTAAGATTATGGCATCCAGTCCCATCACGTCATGGGAAATAGATGGGGAAAAGCAGAGATAGTGACAGATTTTATTTTGTTGGGCTCCAAAATCACTGCAGATGGTGACTGCAGCCATTAAATTAGAAGACATTGCTCCTTGGAAGAAAAGCTATGACAAAACTAGACAGTGTATTAAAAAGCAGAGATATCACTTTGCTGACAAAAGTCCATATACTCAAAGCTATGGTTTTTCCAGTAGTCCTGTATGGATGTGAGAGCTGGTCCATAAAGAAGGCTAAGTGTCAAAAAATTGACACTTTGGAATTGTGCTGGAAAAGATTCTTGGACAGCAAGGAGATCAAACCAGTCAATCCTAAAGGAAATCAACCCTGAATATTCACTGGAAGGACTGATGCTGAAGCTGAAGTTCCAATACTTTGGTCACCTAATGTGAAGAGCTAACTCACTGGAAAAGACTGATTCTGGGAAAGATTGAAGGCAGGAGGAGAAGGGGATAATTGACAGAGGATAAGAAGGTTGGATGGCATTACCAGCTCAAACAACAAGAGCTTGAGCAAACTTTGGGAGATAGTGAAGGACAGGGAAGCCTGGCATGCTGCAGTCCATGGGGTTGCAAAGAGTGGGACATGACTGAGCAACTGAACAACAACATGCCTACTAAATTTATTGGGCAGTAAGGATACTACTACTAGTTTATAGGCAGTTATCTATGGGAGATTCACCATGGGCAGAATCAGTTTACACAACTTGCTTTCATAACTAAGAGCTATTTTGACACGAAAGTGTGAAAGTGTTAGTTACTCAGTGATGTCCAACTCTTTGCGACCCCAAGGACTATAGCCCGCCGGGCTTCTCTGTGGGATTTTCCAGGCAAGAATACTGGAGTGAGTAACTATTCCCTTCCCCAGGTGATCTTCCCGACCCCAGGCCTGCTGCATCGCAGGCAGACTCTTTACCATCTGAGCCACCAGGGAAGCCTGTATTTTGATATAACCTCTATTAAAATTAATATCATCATCATGAAGGATGGAAGACACATTAATCTATCGAAAAGTCTTGCCTTTGATGTGCTTCTTCTATTATTTTAATAATATTTCTTGATTGTTGCTCTAAGCCCTGGAAAAAATCCAGGAAAAAGATTTTCTCAGGCCTCAAGAAATTCAGAGTCGATTGGGAAAGTCGAGTTAAAACATGGATACAAAAAGGGTGGTGAGTACCATGACAGAGCCAGGTACATGTTGCATGAAGAACTAAGCCTCTAAGGAAAGGTTTCTAGAAGAAGTGATAACGGAACTGAATCTGAAGGGACAGTTAATGGGACAGTAGGACAATTATTTCCAGGAGAAGATGAGGAGAACATTTCTCAGAGAGACCAGCAAGGTGCAACATGGGTTACCAAGGGGACTCCTCTTTTCTTAGACTACAGGACAGATTTGAATGTGGACATCTTTGGACTCTGACCACTCATTGCACCCTACCAGTACTCCTAGGCTTCTGACTTTGCAACCACTGGCCTGAGAGATTGCAGGTGAGAGAAGAGCCTAGACTAAGGAACTGGCCATGTCACAGCCATATAAAGAAGGAATCAAGACCTAATCCTGAGGGAGGGCCATCCAGAGCCCTTGACCAGATGGAGGAAGGTAAGATTAGACATGCATTTTATTAAGACCACGCTGGGAGTGGTGGAGTGATCAGTTAGAAAGTTGTTTCCACAGTCCATGCAAATGATCATAATGCTCCAAACTAAAGCACTGCTTCTAAATTAGAGACGGGGAGGGCATATCTGAGATCTATTGTGGATATAATGCTTTAGGATTTACAGTGCTTAGGAATTGGCTGAAAAGAGGGAGGCCTTGAGGATGACCCTCAGGATTCTGGCTTGAGCAACTGGAGGCAGAGTACATCATCACTGAGAAGGAGAAGGACAAATTTGAGAAGGGAGAGTCATTTATCTTTTGAATATTTAGTGCAAGGTGTTGGTGGAACCATTGGTGTAGATGTCCAGCAGTCAGATTTCTTCCAATTTAACATGTTAAACTAGGTGCAGGATTTTCTATCAAGCTCAAAATGTCAACCAACACACCTTTTTGAGACATCTGTTTGAGAAATTCCTTTCACTGCTTGATCCCAACCCTTATTATCTTCTCATCAAAACTATTCTAAGAATCACCCAAAGGGCTCCCCTCATTTTAGCCTCTAGACTCTCAGAGCCACCCTGCTTTCAGAGAAATCTTTCTTTTAGCCAAAACCCTTCTATGGCTTTCCATCACGCACAGGATGAAGCCCTGCAAGATCAGCCTGCCCTGGCTCGCTGAGCACCACAGCCCAGTCTCCCTGTCATCCTCCAGTCCTTCATCGTTCCTGCCATCCCCCAGCCCCAAATCCCTTCCCCACATCTTCTACCAAACAAGTTCCTACTCATTTTTTCTGGCCACTCTCCAGAGTCATCTCTCAGTTGAATATGGTTCATTTCCTCACACAATGAGATGGGAAAGAAGTAATTACTCCTTTATCTGAATTACTGGTGAATTGTGTACCTTTCTCATAGTACTAACTGTACTGTGTCCTGATTTGCCCATCTCATCTATGACACTGGGATTCCCCATAGGCATCTCTTAAGCATCTTTACATATCCAACCGTCAGTATAGGTAGTATGCTTCCTCAGTTTTTTAAGTGCAGAGAATGAATGCATGAGTGTCCAGAGTACAGATTTTTCAACTGAAGAGTATTTTTCATGCCAAATTCTATGCCTATGAGTGCACGCTAAGTTGCTTCAGTCATGTCCGACTCTTTGTGACCCTATGGACTGTGCCCCACCAGGCTCCCCCTGTCCATAGGATGCTCCAGGTAAGAATACTGGAGTGGGTTGCCATGCCCTCCTCCAGGGGATCTTCCTGACCCAGGGATCGAACATGCATCTCTTTCAACTCCTGCATTGCAGGCAGATTCTTTACCACTGAGCCACTGGTGAAGCCCCCTGCACCTTGCATGAACCCGTTTATCCCTATAGATGCCAAACATGTATCTTGCCATTCTGTTCAACAAAACCTCTCTCTGATCCTGCTTTTCATAGCTTCATGCCTGTTTTCTCTTTGGTCATCAGACTTCATTGTCATCTAAGTCTCTAGCTTTTCCCATAGTAGTCTCCCCTCATCCTAATGCAAACTGACTTCTGTCCTTGACCACTCTGCTGAAACAGTTGCTCAGACATCACCAGTGGTCTTCTCAGCGTCAAATCCTAAGCACAGACCCCTTCTTTTCTCATTCTGCTTTCCTTATCTCCCACTGAGTCATCACCGCTATCATTTCTGAGTCTCCCTGTACTGCAATCTGAGCTGCACGGTGACATGATCTTTCTGAAACACTGTGATGTTCAAAAATTGCTTATTGCACTTCAGAGTCTGCAGAATAAAGAGAATTCAGTCTTCATAACCCAAGCCATTCCAATCTGCTCTCCCACCATAGCCCCACCAAGAATGTCAGGTTCCAGCCATATGGGAATAGCCACTCTGTGCCCTCTGAAGATACTTGCAACCTTTCAGACTTTTGTTCACTATTTCCCCTCTTTCTCTTCTTTCTCTCCACTAAAATCCAATTTATCCTTCAAAGATGAACTTGATTGTCTCCTTCCCTGTAAAATCCCCACTTTATCCAGAATTTATCATTCCCGTCACTGGGCTCCTAAAGCACTCTATTGGTCAATATACCTATTATAATACTTATAGCCTTATAGTACAGCACATTATTTGAACATCTGTCTCCTCTATTGAATCAGGAGTTTTACAGTCAAGAACTGTGTGTTAGGACTTTTCTGGTGATCCAGTGGTTAAGACTCTGTGCTCCCAATGCAAGAGGCACAAGTTCAATCTCTGGTTGGGGAAGATCTCACATGCCACAATGGAAAAGTCAAGAAAAAAAGAATTGTATGTTATTCATACCTTACATCCCAACTGTCAGAGTCTCGTATATAACAGACATTCAATAAATACCTGTTGAATTTAAGTGAATTAATTTGGATCAAGGAAGCTTCAAAAATAGGAAGAAACACCAAAACAATATCTATTGTTCCCCAAAATTTACTTATGACTCATAAGTTCACCAAGATACCAAAGTACTGTAAAATTCAAAATATTTATATAAAATCTTATATTGCAACAGATGTTTCCACCCATGAGCCGGCCCTCAGGTTATTACTTTTTGCTTCTCGAAATTCAAATCATCTCGCAGAACACCTCCAGAGACCAGCTCTTCCTTCAGGTGTGTTAGCTGACCCTGTAGAGTCTCCAACTTGTTTTCTGCTTTCTGGGCTCTCTGCAGGGCTTTCTGGTGAAACTGGGACTCATTTCCCAACTGTTCAACAAGCTTAGATATTTGGGCTTCAAGCTGGGAGACCATCTGGAAAGAAAGACAGAGAACAAGATAAGCCTTGTTTCAGATGCAACAAAGTGTTAAAATCTAGTACTCAACCCCAAAGATACAACTATTTATAACTCCAATGTCCAGATTCTTTGTAACAATTAAATTTAAAAAATAGGTAATTGATAGCTGTATTTGCCTCTGCTTGAAATAAATCTACATCATTATCTAGCAAAATATTTTAGATTGATATTTTTAATTTTTACATCATTCCTTAAACAGGTTCTTTGGGAAGTCTTGAGGGAAAACCTTTACTTACCCCCTAAAGCTACCTTGGCCACATGGCATATGGGATCTTAGTTCCCTGACCAGGGAGCAAATCCACACCCTTTGCATTGGAAGCTCGAAATCTTAACCACTGGACTACCAGGGAAGTCCCATTATTAATTTAGGAGTTTCAAAGCTCAGTTGGAAAGAGAGAAAAGCAAATATCATATATTAACACATATATGGGGAAATCTAGAAAAACAGTACAGATGAACCTATTTGCAGGGCAGGAATAGAGCCAGAAACGTAGCGGAATGGACTTGTGGTCACATCAGGGGAAGGAGAGGGTGGGACAAGTTGGGAGATTAGGATTGACATACATGTCTAAAATAGACAGCACCTAGTGGGAAGCTGCTGCCCAGCGCAGGGAGCTCAACTACGTGCTTTTTGATGACCTGTTAACAAATGGGGGCGATGGGAGTGGTTCAAGAGAAAGGGGATATACGTATACATATAGCTCCTTCACTTCATTGTACAGCAAAACTAACACAACCCTGTAATGCAATTATACTCCAATAAAAAATCTTTGCATTGGAAGCTCGAAATCTTAACCACTGGACTACCAGGGAAGTCCCATTATTAATTTAGGAGTTTCAAAGCTCAGTTGGAAAGAGAGAAAAGCAAATATCATATATTAACACATATATGGGGAAATCTAGAAAAACGGTACAGATGAACCTATTTGCAGGGCAGGAATAGAGCCAGAAATGTAGCAGAATGGACTTGTGGTCACATCAGGGGAAGGAGAGGGTGGGACAAGTTGGGAGATTAGGATTGACATACATGTCTAAAATAGACAGCACCTAGTGGGAAGCTGCTGCCCAGCGCAGGGAGCTCAACTACGTGCTTTTTGATGACCTGTTAACAAATGGGGGCGATGGGAGTGGTTCAAGAGAAAGGGGATATACGTATACATATAGCTCCTTCACTTCATTGTACAGCAAAACTAACACAACCCTGTAATGCATTATACTCCAATAAAAAAGAAAAAAGCTTAACCAGGAAAAAGAATTCAGACATTAAGTACTTTGAAAAACTATAACCATTTTCAAGAGAAACTCTTCTACCACATATAGCACATTCAGATTACACAGGAAGTTAAACTTGATAGATGACCTTGGGCTGTAATTGGGAATTTAAGTGCAGAAACGTATTTTTCCAAGCTTTATTTAGAACTTTGTATTGAGTATTGGTTACTCACACACTAAACTGCAGTGGTACTGCCTCTGGGCTGCACAGTTAAGGAGCAAAGTCATCGTGTTAGCATTCAAAAGGTCAAAATTCCTTTAACACAGTGAGTCAGCAGAGCAGAAGAAGGCAGAGGAATCTGACTACCACCTCCTCTTTTAGAGCATAAAGTCACTGTTTCTCCATTAAAGAACCCCAAACTCCCCCCAACTCCCTACCTTACCCAATGCTTCCATCCTTTCCAGGAGTTTCTCTTCTTGTCCTGACCTTCCCTTAAACCAAGAACTTAAATTTACCAAACATCTCAGGTACACTTTGAGAAGACTCAAACTGATTCCACCAAATCCCGTTTTCGGAAAATGTTGAATTCAATTCAAAAAAATAAGTTAAAGGTCACAAATTTATTTGGTTTTAATGGTTTCTTTTTCTTTAAAGTCCCATCCACCTATCTGCAAACAACCAAACCTAAAGACAAGAAGACATTCAAGCTGTGTTCAAATATTTTTAATTAGTTTATTTATTTTAATTGGAGGCTAATTACTTTACAGTATTGTGTTCAAATATTTTAAAAGGCTATTATACAGAAGAACAATGGGATTTGTTCTGAGTTGCCTTCAGAGTTCAAGTTGAGGACAAACAGGTATATATCAAAGATTTCTATTTCTATGTAAAGAATTTTTCTCTGTCACCATAATTTCAAAGTAATACATACTCATTGTAAAAGATGCATTACAGACAAAAACAAACATGTAAATAAGCAAAACCTAATATCCATGATCTCACCACCCAGAGGCAATAACTATTACTATTTTAAAATAATGTATTTGCATGTATTGATTAAAATATAGTTGAGATATCATGTATGCAGTTTTGAGGTTTTGTTTTTGCCTCATACTTTAAGCATCTTCTCATGTCAGGTAGTGAAGGACCAGTCCCTGGAGATGGCTAGGATTTGGCCAACCATTTGTTAAGAATATTATGGGGTGGACTGAAGCGCTACAGTCAGGAAGGTTAAATTACTTGATCTCTAATTTTGTGCTTCTAAGGCTTTCAAGTTCCCATGTCTATAATTCAATTAATTCTATACTCCTGAAGGGGCTTGAAATCAGATATTTGATGGCAAGCTGCTTAGTACCATATCCAAAGAATTACATTTCTGAAGGAAATTTCTACTTTCATTATGAGGCTCTAAGAACCCCCTTTCATATTTTCTACCCTTTTCTGTTGTTCAGGCACTAAGTCATGTCCAACTCTTTGCAACCCCATGGACTGCAGCACACCAGGCTCCTCTGTCCTCTGCCATCTCCCAGAGTTCGCTCAAACTCATGTCCATTGAGTTGGTGATGCCATATAACCATCTCATTCTCTGCTGCCCCCCTCACCCTTTGCCTTCAATCTTTCCCAGCATCAGGGTCTTTTCCAATGATTTGGCACTACATATCAGGTGGCCAAAATATTGGAGTTTCAGCATCAGTCCTTCCAATGAATATGCCCTTAGTACTTACTAATAGCAGATCTGATGTTAATGCAAAAAATGCATCAAGTACAAGACACAAAGTAACCTACAAAACAAGGGGCTGTCAAGCAACAGATCCTGACTAATGATAGTATGTTGTACAACAGATAACATACGTTTCTGTGCAACTGAAAATGTGGTTTCATATTGGACTCGTAAGTCGAAAGTAAGTCTTTCTACCTGAAGATTCTTTGACATTTCTATCCCATAGTTGACCGGGCAAAGAGAATGAAGCCAAAGGGAAAACAAATGCAGAAAACCTCAGTTGGAAAGATGGGGAACTGTGATCGCTTAGCCACAATCAGCACACTGCAGACCTTACCAGAGGAGAGCCAAGTCTTCCATAGACATCAGTAAAGACGACAGGTGAGTGCAGTAACTGACTCAGGGAGTGATAATGATCCTGAAGGAAGACCCAGACACCTGATGTAGACCAGACTGTGGGACAGGGACTTTGGAGTCAGACAGCCCTGATTTCAAGTCCTCCCCCTTCCCCTGACCAGTGTGTTAACTGAAGCAAGAAATTAACCTCGCTGAAACTCATACTTTGTTCTTATGAGTAGATGAGCTAAATTACTGATCATTGGATTAGCACAGTATCTCATACCCAATTGAAGCTCAACACATTGCATCCACTTTTATCATCAGTATTATTCCTCCAGTATGTGGGTTCATCCAATCCTATTCTTTTGTCATAAGGAGTTTGAGAAGTTTTTCAGGAATTGTCCTCTATCATGTTTCTCAAGGGCTTCTCAGGTGGCTCAGTGGATAAATACTCCACCTGCAGCACAGGAGACGCAGGTTCAATCCCTGAGTTGGGAAGATCCCCTGGAGAAGGGAATGGCAACCCACTCCAGTATTCTTGCCTGGAAAATCCCACAGACAGAGGAGCCTGGTGGGTTGCTAGGAATTTCAACACTAAAGATGTGGGACTTCCCTGGTCATCCAGCAGCTAAGCCTCCAAGCTCCCAATGCAGGGGACCCAGGTTCCATCCCTGGTCAAGGAACTAGATCCCACATGCTGCAACCAAAGATGCCTCATGCAGCAACTAAGACCCAGCACAGCATATACATGTTCTAAAAATTGTTGCCTACTGATGTTGTTCTGATTAAACCCTTAATTTCTATTTCTGTAAAAAAACAAACCACAAGAGATGCCTGGAATGGGCAGGGAAGGAGGGTGGCTTGTACTAAAAAATACATATCAATGGACAAGAGTTTGAGAAAGCTCTGGGAGATGATGAAGGACAGGGAAGCCTGGTGTGCTGCAGTCCATGGGGTTGCAAAGAGTCAAACACAACTGAGCGACTGAAAAACAACATCACCATTTAAAAAAAAAAAAAGGCACTGAAATAAACTGTAGTCCAAAAACAAGCAGCTTGGATTTTGGAAGTGAAATCATAATGCCCTAAGAGAACTAATTTATTTTCCAAGGACAAGGAGTTGTTGATTTCACCCGAGAGGCACTTCTGCCCTAAGATTAAATCCAGTGGAAGCACAAGAGCTCTAAGCTGAAGAAAAAGCCACTTGGGTCATTTAAGGGCCAGTGCCTTCTGGACACAAACAACTCTTCTCTGATTATTCAAGCTAGATTTTCACTTAAGAAATATATAAAATGAGCTACCAGGAACCAATCAAACTATCCTTCCTTCTTGTCATATGTATGGCCAACACTGTTGACTGGGCTGACCCTACACCACCACCAATGTGTACGTCAACTTCTGTTATGGTTTGAATTGGGTTCCCCCAAAAGAGTTGTGTTGAAGTCCCCTGGTGCTTCAGAATGTGACATTATTAGAATTTTTACAGAGATAAGTTAAAATGAGGTCATGAGGATGGGCCCTAATCCAATATGACCAGTGTCCTTATTAAAAGGGAAATTTTGGACAGAGAGACACACACATAAGTGGAGGGAAAATTATATGAAGACACGGAGAGAATGTGATCCATAAACCAAAGAGTGTCTGAGGCTATCAGAAGCTAGGTGATAGGTTTGAAACAGATTTTCCCTCTAGGCACTCAGAAGACACCAGTCCTACCAACACCTTGACTTTGGACTTCAAGCCTCCAGAGTTGTGAGACAACAAATTTCTGTTGTCTAAGCCACTTAGGTAGTCGTCCTTTGTCATGGCCATTCTAGGAAATTAATACACTTCAGAGGCTGGGAGAGCTGAAACCTCTATCCTTGGACTTGCCCAGATTGCCCTTGGAGCCACGAGTGACTATGTAACATAATACTGGATGATGAAATATCAGTGCAAGTGTAGCTGAAGCTTCTGGGTAAATGTTTGGTTTAGAATACTGGAGGATTAAGAACAGAGCAGAGTGAAGAGATCAGATAGGGCTAGTAGGGGAGTTGTGGAAACATCTCAGGTTGTTTATGGTATCTCATTGAGTCCCCAGAGCTCTCACACTGGACTAAAAAAACTCCACTGGAGGAAATATAGCCTTGTGTGTGCTCTAAAGCAGAACAGAAGAGCTGTCTAGAAAAATGTTTGTGAGCCTGTACTAATTTGTCTGCAATTAAGGACAAATGGGAATCACTCATGGTCAATTCTCCGCCAGATAATTAGCCAGCTAGGAAATATCTAAAAGTTCAAAACAAACAAAAAATGCTCGCCTCAATACTCTGAAATCTGAAAATATCATAGTTTCCTGTCATTGTGCAAGAAATCATTATTTCAAAAACACCTGTTACAAGTGTACTGAAATTTCAAGGCTACATAGCTGAAATACTCATTTATAATTCCTGGGAACTCCACAATAGAACATTCCTCTGAGAGGTTTTCAACTAGGGGCAGTTTCACTTCCAAGGGTCATTTGGCAATGTCTAGAGATATCACTGGGCTTCCCTGGTGGTTCAGATGGTAAAGAATCTGCCTGCAAAGCAGAAGATCTGGGTTTGATCCCTGGGTTGGGAAGATCTCCTGGAGAAGGGAATGGCAACCCCTTCCAGTATTCTTGCCTAGAGAATCCTGTGGACAGAGGAGCCTGGTGGGCTACCGTCCATGGGGTCGAAAAGAGTCAGAGACAACTGAGTCTCTAACACTAGAGACATCACCAGGGCTTCCCAGGTGGTGCTAGTGGTAAAGAACCTACCTGCTAATGCAGGAGACGTAACAGACTCGAGTTTGACCCCTGATCCGGGAAGATCCCGTGGAGGAGGGCATGGCAACCCACTCCAATATTCCTGTCTAGAGAATCCCATGGACAGAGGAACCTGTTGAGCTACAGTCCGTAGGATTGCAAAGTCAAATACGACTGAAGCAACTTAGCATGCACACACAGAGACACCACTGGTTGTCACCAATCGGGGAGAAGAGGAGGTACTATTGGTATCTAGTGGGTAGAAGCTGGAGATGTTGCTAAACATCTTACAATGCTTTTACATCCTACAGATGTAACTGTAGGATGTAAACATCCTACAGATGTTTTAAACATCTTACAGAACCGCTTTTACAACAAAGGATATTCCAGCTCCAAATGTCAATAGCTGAGAAATCCTGCTCTAAGGTATAGTAAAGTACTTAAAAAGAAAATTAGGTTTTGCTATAATCAGAAGAGCATGGAATAAGTAGAAACCACTTATTGATAAACGTGTGGGTGGTGTCCTGAGTACCCAGAATTGCAAATCTGGGAGACTGAAAATGAAGAGCAAAGAGGTAAACAAGAAAAGCAATGTTCAGTGAGTCGGGGTCACGGTGACGGGGAGGATTTGCCAGGCCCAGGGCACATGGGTGTTACTCAGCTGGGGACTGTGTGTTTACCCCTGGCAGCTGGCAGGGGATGCACCCTCTGCAGCAGATTCATCAGTCTGTAAAGCTCCCATTCTTCAGAAACAGTTCTAAGACAATATATGAAATCCGTTTTCTCCTGATTTTACTCGAAGATGAGTCACACAAGATGCCAGCTACAGGCTTGATTTCAAGCTTTTAAAGAGTGAGGGCAGCTATTGAAAAAAAAATTACAGGCTAGGAATGGCAGACAAAGGCACTAAAAAGGCTCTGACTCATTCTCATTTTTACGAGGAGAGGGGGAGGGCATAGCCAGCTTAACCAATTTACATCATTTTGCTTTAGAAAATAAACATATACATCATGCTGACAACTTTATGCCATGTTTCACATGCTGGAATTAAAATAGTTTTAGGAAAACATTTGGAAAAATAGAAGAGGGAAGCAATAAAATGAAATGGCAAAGATCCATTGGCTATTGAAGTACATCTATTACTGTTCAAGGTAACTCACTTAATGGAGCTTTTCTCAGTCCTGTAAATAATTTTCTCCTCCAACCCAGGACCTATATGTACACTGAATCACAAGATAGACTGAGTGACCATCAGAGACCCACACGTGTTACATGCGCATTAGTCGCTGTGTTTGACTCTTTGTGACCCCCTGGGCTCTAGCCCACCAGGCTCCTCTGTCCACGGGATTCTCTAGGCAAGAATGCTGGAGTGGGTTGCCACTTCCTTCTCAAGGGGATCTTCCCAACCCAGGGACTGCACCCGGGTCTCCTGCATTGCAGGCGGATTCTTTAGTGTCTGAGTTCCCAGGGAAGCCCATATATGTTATGGGGCGAACATTTTCTATCCACAAGAGAGTCCTACACTTGGACAAAGAAGTCACTGGGGCTGCTACTGGAGCATGAGTGAATTTTGCAGAGTTTTCAAAGGGAATTTAAAACGTCTTAGCGTTAAAGGAAATTTACAAATGTAACCGTGAGCTGTGTGTTAGTGATCACTCTGAGTTTTATAGGAACGTGAAAAGATGAAAAAGTTCATTTTCTCCTTTTGAGCAAAGAATGAGCTCAAGAGAAGCAATAGTTCCTAATGGAATTAAAGGATCATATTAATGAATATCACAGAATTTGGATGTTATCTAGTTAAAAACCTCGTTAATTAGGACTTTAAAATCTGAACTTAATGACAATTTAAATAGAAGCTGGGTTGAACTTGACATGGCTAAGCAAAGCTTTATGGGAAAGAAGAATTGTTAATAATAGAAATAAGATAACAAAATTAAGCAAGCTTCAATCATCTGTGTGATTTTTTTTTTAATTTTTGAATCCACTTGTTCAACAGGTCCCCTAAAAGACTGTTTCAGGTCACTAGGAAAAGGAGAGAGGAGGTGAGAGAGGAGGCGGGGCCAGGAAAGCAACAGTCAATATTTATCATTGCTATTGGCCAGACAGTGTGTTAAAGACTTCATAACAATTTTTTTTTTCATTTAAGGTTTACAACAAACAATACCCTTAAGAGGCAGATCTGGTTACAGGCGTAGCAACTCTTCTCTGCAATTCCAAAATCCAAAAAGATCTGAAAGCTGAGTTTTTTTTTTTTCCCCAAAACTCATTGGCTGGCAAAGCTTGACCTGACAGGATGTGGCAACGAACCCTGACCTGAAGTGACCGAGGCTCTTCACAGGCCTGGTGGATCCCAAGAAGCCGAGATGCTCACGGCTTTTGCCCCAGAAGATGAACGTGGTTGATTATGGAAAGCTCACCGGAACCCACTGAGGAGTAACGTGTACAGGTCCTTTCTCCACTACCTTCCTGGGGACTGTGTGACATTTCTAAATGCTGAAAACATCTGAATTCGAAAACCGCAGCAGACAAATGGTATACAGAAGAACCTGTCTGCAGCACAGGAATAGTGACAGAGGCAGAAAACGGACAGACGGACACAGCGTGAGAAGGGGAGGTTGGGAAGGAACGGAGTACATTGACATGTATACACACTGCTGTTGTCGTTCAGTCGCTAAGTCGTGTCTGACTCTGTGACCCCATGGGCTGCCCCACGCCAGGCTTCCCTGTCCTTCACCATCTCCGGGAGTTTGCTCAAACTCATATCCACCGAGTCAGTGATGCCATCCAGCCATCTCATCCTCTGTTGCCCCCTTCTCCTCCCGCCCTCAATCTTTCCCAGTATATACACTATCGTGTGTAACATAGCTAGCTGGAGGGAAGCTACCGTATAGCACAGGGAATTCAACTCACTGTTCTCTGACAACATAGAGGCTGGGATGGGGGTGAGGTGGGAGGGATATATGTATACACAGGGCTGACGCACGTAGTTGCATACAGAAAGTAAGACAACACTGCAAAGCAATTACACTCCAATTAAAAAAAGAAAAGGAAAACAAAAGCTCACAGCAGGCCCCAAGGGTTTCAGATAGCGGTGTGGACCCTGCACTGTCCCTATACAGTAGGCCAGGAAAAAAAATCTCAGAGGCTGTCCTCTCAGGAACCTCACATCTGGAGCAAGTGAGCGTGCAGTAGAGACAAAATTCAGCGTGGGTAGAGCTGCGTCCAGAACCCACATCATTCACAAGGAGATGTGACTTCAAAAATATAATATATAATTGAAAGTAGGATTCTTTACCACTGAGCCACCTGGGGATCCCTGAAAGTAGTACAACCACATTTAAAGGCTACTTTTAAGTAACTTGGGCCTCCCTGGCAGCTCAGATGATAAAGAATCTGCCTGCAATGCAGGAGACCCAGGTTTGATCCCTGGGCTAGGAAGGTCCTCCGGAGAAGGGAATGGCAATCCACTCCAGTATTCTTGCCTGGAGAATTCCACGGACCGAGGAGCCTGGCGGACTAGGGTCCACGGTGTTGCAAAGAGTTTGATACGATGGGGCCACTAATGCTTGGGGAAGAAACACTTTGACTAACTCAGACAACTCACTCAGTGAATATGCTAAATGAAGGACTGACTGTCCTTAAGAAGCTTGTAAGCCTCCAGCCCCCACTCACCTGTTTCCCGCTCTCTTCCTGGCTGCCCATTTCTCGAATCCTCTCCAGAATGGCATTCTCCGAGGGCCTAAGTGTGCCTGAGCTGCCCCTCAGCAGGGCTGCTATCTTCTCCCTAAATGAGGAGAGCTCCGTCTCGGAGGCCGCGGTTGCCTCCAGACTGGCCTTCAAACTCTTCTCCAGCTCCAAAGAGCTCCTCTTCAAGAGGCTCAGCTCCTGCTTTGAGGCATCCCAGACCCGCTGACCAGCAAGCAGCCTTTCTTGGAAGAACTTAACTTCCCTTTCAAGAGCTTCTTTGGCCTCCATGGCACCAAGCAAGTCCTAAAATAATTATGGAAAGTGAAGACAATAGCATTAGTAGCCAACGAGGAGAGGCTGCACTTGCTTCTCATTTTTCTTGCTTACGGATGACTTCAAGGAGCTAGGGTTAAATGCTCATTCCAGTCTTCATTCTAGCTGCCCTATCCTCTCTTCATAAAGACATTAAATTGCAAAGCTATGTTAGGTGAATTTAAGTGTCTGAAAAAGAGAAGGGATATAAAAGCAGGGCTAGAGAACTGAACTGTGGACAGTTTGGGGGAGGAAAAGGTAGGATATATTGAGAGAGTAGCATGGAAACATAGACACTACCGTAAAATAGATAGCCAGTGGGAATGTGCTTTATGACTCAGGGAGCTCAAATCGGGGCTCTGTGACAACCTAGAAGGGTGGGATGGAGTAGAAGGTGGGAGGAAGGCTCAAGAGGGAGGGGGCATGTGTATACCTGTGGTTGATTCATGTTGACCTATGGCAGAAACCAACACAACACTGAAAAGCAATTATCCTTCAATTAACAATAAATACATTTCTTAAAAAATAAGTGGGAAAAAATCTGGCCTAGGGACAAAAAAAAAAGGAAACTGACATATAAGACTTTTCTCTAGGGACCTCTGGAGAGATTTAATAAAAGCAAATCACTGGCTAACATACTAGTAGATTTGATCCATATATAGAATATGTTTACAGGGCTATGAGTTCTCAAGCTTGGTACAGATGGAAATTGATGTTGAGGAAACAGTCAACTCTCAGAGTCCTAATTAGCTGCTAAAAATTATTTGAATGAAGGTAAGTAATAGAGTAGAATTATCATAAAGCATCATTGTATAAAAGAGAGTAAGACCATTCTTCCAATATTCATTGACTGTGTATCTCCCTGTCTGATAAAGACAATACTAATGCTGGTAGGCCCTGAAGAAATAAAATGGGAAGGAATAGTCAGTTTTTGGGTGGGAGGATTAAAAATGGAGAGAGAGAACCATACTGAGAAGAATAACTTTAAAGAATATGTATGCTTAGGTATGTAAAAATAAAGGGCACTGAGAAAGTTACCAGTGCATCTACTTCTATTTACTATATCTAGGATGGTCCAAAGAGGCATCAAAAGGATATCCTTAAAATTCATTAAAAAAAAAAAGTTTGTTGACATCAAGTTCCAAATTAAATTAATTCACATCAAAAAAAGATTATGGAAATTAGTTCCTGAAATGCTTTGCTTTTCCGGCTCCCGGCAACTGTTCCATTTCTCCACTCCCTTTCCAAACCAGTCCTTTTTGCAGAGAAGCCCCATTACCACTGCAAATTAAATCGTATGAAGAGTCAAGGACACTTTATCACAAATACAATACTTTAATACTTTAACAATTTACAATACTTTAATACTTTACAGATTTATTTTCAGATAGTAATACAATATCTGTTCAACTAGAATAACATTCTAATCTAGCATCAGCATTGGTGACAATAAATTGGAGTTTATTGCCATGTGTTAACTTAGAAATTGCAATCTAATGTGTGGTTAGAAAACTGAGTCCTGGGGACTTGCCCAGTGGTCCAGTGGTTAAGACTCCAAACTCCCAATGCAGGGGGCCAGGGTGCAATCCCCGGTCAGTGAACCAGATCCTGCACACCACGACTAAAGATCCCGTGTGCTGCAACTAAGCCTTGGTGCAGTCAAATAAATATTTTTTTTAAAAAAGAAAGAAAATTGAGGTCTTAAATTTGATGACACAGTGATGAAAGTTAATCCTAATCCCCTCAGAATCCTAAAACCCAGTAGGAAGTTATATATCAACTTTTACATTGAAAGAAAGTCCCTAATGCAAAAGAGGAGCCTTTCCATGACCAGTGGAGAGATATTTTTAACCAAGAATTTACAAAAGTTCCTAAAAATATACAGAAAACATATCAGACATTTGAGTACTATAGACTTACTGTCAGTTTGGAATAAACTAATCAATTGGCAGCTTACACCGAGAGACCAATAAACACAATTAAAATATTTCAGCTATGAGAAACTTTTTCCACTCCGATATCAGACTGTTGTCTCACTGCCTTAGAGACCATGGCCAAAACAGTCCTCTTTAACAAATCCGGAGTACTAATGCTTATGTCTAATAAAATCAGAAAATTCCTTCATGGTCACAGAATATAGTGGCACATGGCAGCAGCTCAGATTTTTTCTTTTTCTGGACATATCTCAGCTCAGTTAACTATATACTGTTTCTCTTATGAAATGCAGAAACTTGGGAGCCAGCGACCAGGCCTCGGGGACCTACTCCCCCAGCACTCTGATTAAGTGCTTCAGAATTCAGGGGGCACAGGGCTGAATGGCTGGAAACAGATGTCCTCGGACAGCAAATGCAATTACTAATAGAGCTTGAAGCAGGAGACAGCGGCTGGAGTGGAGTCTGGTTGCACGGCTACCTCAAGGATAGACTGAAGTAATGTGACATTGGTGTCACCGGCCAGGATCCAGGGATGCTGTCAGATCACACTGACACACAGAACAAGAAATAACTAGCTCTCTCAGAGCAAAATCAGGACAGACTTCCCAGAGGGAACTGCATGGGCAAATGAGGACAGATGCTATGGAAATAGTGATGGGAATCACTTAAACAAAATTTTTTTCTTAATTTATTTACTTTTAGTTGAAGGATAACTGCTTGACAATATTGTGTTGGTTTCTACCATATATCAACATGAATCAGCCATAGGTGTACATATGTTCCCTCCTTTTAGAGTCTCCCTCCCATCTCCTACCCCAGCCTACCCCTCTAGGTTGTCACAGAGCCCCAGTTTGAGTTCCCTGAGGCATTCAGCACCTTCTCACTGGCTATCTATTTTACGTATGTAACAAATCTTTAGCTTCAGATCTAGTAATGCAACGGATGTATAATGATCCTTTCATGACTACTTGTAGCAAAAACATTTGTAAATAATATGATCAAGGCATTCATTTTAACTTCCCAATTAAATGCATGAAGTAATGAAATCATTCAAAGGTTTGTGTTTTTAAAACATATGCATTCCTATTATGATATTTCTAACCATCCTATGGCTTTGGATATGCCTGAGATCAAACTGCCTCTCAGAACAAAAATGACTGATTATCATCAGGGTAGAGAACCTCTGGCTTGAGCTTAATTCATCCAACCCTAGACAATTCTCATAAAACTAAAAATTACTTGGTTATTTCTACCTACTGCAGTTAATATTAACAAACTCAGAAATTTCCCCAAATATGCCCTCTCATGCATTTCTGGTGATAGTGTGAATAGGTATAATTTTGGCATAAATACCTAAAAGATGGAATATGCACAATATCCTTTGGCCCTGTAATTCCATGATCTGTTAGAGAAGAAGCTGCACAGTAACATTTTACTTCAAAATGAGGAAGACCTTTCCTAGATCTGAGCTGTCCCAGTGGCATCATCAACCTTGGAAAATAACAAGAATTCAGTTTAAATTTGAAATTCTCATTATTGACAAACTCAATACAAGTTAACAATGAATTAAACTGTCCACGAGGCCAGTGTGTTCCTGGGCTTCACTTCAGTACTGCAAAACACTCTGCCCTAAACTGGTCGGACTGTGCCTGGAGGACCATGGACAGTTCCCAGTTGAAATTTAAAGGGGTACATAGTCAAAATGGATTGGGTTCTGCATCACACACTAGGATTAGATCCATAATAAAAATATTTACATGACCATGTTATTTTTAACTCTGTTTCAACTTATTGTAAATGTGTTGAATGAACCTAAAGACAAAGCACTGAAGACTTATAGTTACAGAACAGAATGTAAATATTATACAACTTGACAAGGTAAATATAATGATATAATAAAAACTGTCAAATGAATGAGGGGAGAAAAAAGTAGGTAGCATTAAATTCATCTTATTTCATAGCAGAACATCCAAAAAATTACTATTTTAGGTTATCAGGTATAGTATTGTTTAAAGTCTTAATGGTAATATTAGAAGTTAAAATGAGAGTGTAAAACTATGGCTAGAAGTGGAAGGAGAGATGATTCTTAATTTTACTTCAGAGTCTTATGAACATTCTAAAGTTTTTATAATATGAGCAGATATTATTTCAGTGTTCATTTACATCTTAATGCCTCACCATTTTAGAATCCTCCCTCTAGCTTATTAGCACCAGGTTGCAGACGCATCCACCATCCTGTTGGCATCAGGACTGGGGTGTCTCAGCCCAAGTAGCTAGCTGGGCAGGGATACAGCATCACCACTAGGCTGGCTGCCTTAGGACCCCATGATTCCCTAACCCACACATCAGAGCGCCCACCAGTGCACCTCACTAGCCCTGGGACCCCCTGGGACCTTACTTGGCTGCAGGAACCAGCCCCACTCACCAGCAGACAGACACCAGACCCAGGACCACCATAACCCAGGAGTCTGCCATATCAGGACCCAGCCCCCACATGAAGGAGCCAACACTGGCTCTGGGACACACTGCGCCACTTGGCCAGCTCAAATTCCTAGAAGCACACAATCTTCCCAGACTGGGTAAGGAAGAAATAGAAAACATGAACAGACTAAACACCAGTAATAAAACTGAATCAGTAATTTTAAAACTTCTCATAAACAAAAATTCAGGATCAGGTGGCTTCATAGGTGAATTCTACCAAACATTTAGAGAAGAGTTAACACCTATCCTTCTCAAATTCTTTCAAAAAAAAAAAAATACTGCAAAGGAAGGAACACTTCCAAACTCATTTTCAAGGCCAGCATTATCCTGATACCAAAACCAGACAAAAACATCACTAAAAAGAAAATCACAAACCAATATTACTGATAAACATACATGTAAAAAAACCTCAACAAAATACTAGCAAATCAATTTTAACAATACATTAAGAGGATCATACACTATGATCAAGTGGGGTTTATCCCATGGATGCAAGAATGATTCAATGTGATACAGTACATTAATAAATTGAAAAATAAATATCATATAATTATCTCAATAGATGCAAAAAAGATT